GAAGACTAGCAAGCCCCTACAACAAAAATGTGAAACCTCCCTAGATGTTGTATAGGTTAAGTTGTATAGCTCTGCCCCCAAGAAGGTGAGGGATGTCAAAATTCATCTGCAGGTTTCAGACAGCTGTCCGTAAAACACTGAGCTTGGGCTACCAGTCCCAGAATGAGAAAATGATTTCCTCTACACCCAAATCTCAGAGAGACTTTAGGGAAACATGGTGTTTAGGTCCTTGACTTCTTGACTAATCATGCAACTAAAGAATTCAACTTATATGTTGATGTAGGCATGAGGTGGAAGACATCATTTAAGATCTATCATGGGTTCTTAAATGCCCAAAAATAGGAAGGTGAGGAGGTAATGGAATTCTTTCAAGAATCCATTGCTCATTCCTTTCCCTGCTCAGTCCACCATCAGGATGGGACCACAGCTGCAGGGAGAAAATCTGTTTCTATTAGAGTTTCACAACTCTCTCATCCCTTGGTCTCTGGCACAGCGTGACCCACCCACAGATACCTCAAAGCCTTCTCATAACATAGAATCTATTTAGGACTCATCATCCCTAAGAACTAGAGTTTCTACTATTTGTGTACTATACTGTGATCATCTACAGTTGGAACTTCAAATTCTGGTCTATTTTATACATAAACCTGTACCAGATTGTGCTAATGAAATGTTTAAAAATGCATCTATGGCTTGTGCTGTTTTAATGTGGATGTACTTTCTTGTAAAAAAAAATTTAGAAATCAAAATCATGTTTATTCCAAGAAATTTTTTTTCTGACATGAATCTAAATTAAATTTTAAGTAGAAACGTTTTTCTTCTTTAGTGCATTTACCAACCAGAGCACTGATTTCTCAGCTTGTAGAAAGGGTTTTAAGATTAAAGGTGATTTTTTTTTTTTAGTTTTCTTTAAGCCAACAGAGTAGTTGTTTAACATTTATCTATCTAAATGCCTCCTCAAATTAAAAAAATGTCATATCAAAGGCAATTTAACAGACCAACCTACCAATCACTCTTACTTCTACAATTATTTATTGAACAATCACTATGTGCCAAGCTCCCTATGTGACAGTTTATGTGGCTGCAGATACCTTTTTGGGTGGATGGAGGACAAGCAGAGAAACTATCCCTAAAAGGAACAGAGAATCAAGTTGACATCTGATTGGTAAGCATACATTTTGACAGGTGAAGGAATAGAAAAGGGAAATATCATTTAAGGAAGAAGTACTACATTCAATGGTTTTGACATGTAGATAAACAGGGTGGGATCTAAAGGAAATCTGCATTTTCTGGACTCATTATGAAAAAGTCTGCTCCACATAAATCTGAAACTTCATGGGAGTTGGAAGGATGCAGGGCCTTGGCAGCTGCTTGTAGAATTTGATCTTTATCTTGAAAATTAGAATCATTTGCCTCCATACAGCTGAAGTAGCAAGATGGGACAAGATTCAGAAGCAACATATGGATGCGGCAAAGAGGCTGTGTTAGCTTTCAATCAAGGTGACGAAATACTTGAGAAAAACAATATAAAAGGAAGAAAGTTATTTTGACTCTTGGTTTAGGATGTTTCAGTCCCTGTCCGCTTGGCCCCATTGCTGTGGGCTTGTGGTGAGATAGAACATGGCGGAGGGGAGCCCGTGGTGTAGTAGAGCTTCTCACTTAGTGACTTGATCCAGGAGGCAGAGAGAAAGCTCAATTTTATAACAAAACGCTTCCTTCAAAACCCCATGAAGCGAAGAATCCAAAAATGGATTCATCTACTGATGAGGTCAGAGCCCTCATGTTCCAACCACCTCCCAAGGGCCCCACTTTTGAATATTACTGCATTGGAGACTGAGTCTTCATCACACGTGTTTTGGAGAGATGCTTCAGATCCAAACTGTAACAGAGGTCATTACTGTAACAGAGGTTGTAGTTCAGGGGGAAAGTAACAGAAACTTGAAATTTGGATGTGAAACCAGACACAGGCATAAACAGATGAGTGGAGAAATATTTTAGAGGTACATCCAACAAGGCCTGTTAAGGGTGGAAAGTAAAGGAGAGAGGGAGATGGAAGTATGAAGCATCTGGGGTTTGCCAAATTAGATAGAAAATAGTGAGTTAACTGAGGTGTAAAACATGGAGAAGGGAACAGGCCTGGGGAGTGACCTTGGGTTGTGGGTAGGAAATCATGAGTCCATTTTGTACATGCTGAACTTGAGTGCCATTGGGACACTCAGATGGAATTATCAATTGTTACAGATTGGATCCGGAATGTCCCCAAAAGGCTCATGTGATAAAGGTTTGGTTTCCAATGTGGAAATGTTCAGAGACATGTAGTTTTGAGCAAAGAATGAATGTGAGGATTCTGACTTCATCAATGGATTATTTCATGGAGGGATTCATTCATAACTGAACATACTATTAGGAGGTGGTAGACACGATAAGCTAAAGGGATTCGGTCCTTAGAAACATACCTTTGGAGATTATGTCTTGTTCCTATTCCTTCCTTCCTCTCTCTCTCTCTCCTTCTTGACCACCATAAAGTAAGCAGCTTTGCTGGACCCCACCCGTTTGCCATGCTGTCCTGCCTCAACATAATCCCAGAAACAATAGAGCCAGCCAACCGTGGATGGAAATCTCTGAACAATGAGCTAAAATAACTCCTTCTTCTTCTAAGTTGTTTTTTTCTCAGCTTTTATGTCACAGCAACAAAAAGCTGACTAACACAAACCCAGTATTTCAACATGGGATCGTGGAGCTCAGGAAAGGCCAGTGAAACTAAAACAATGGCCCAATACTCAGAAATTGTTATTCTTTACCTTCAATGTGTTCCCTGTTAAAAAGTTTTAATAATTTAACTCAAAAAGTTCTTTGCGTACTACCACCCTCTGTCTTCAACGGCAAAAGCAGAAAGAAAAATTCCTGTTTTCTAGTTTGAGAAAGGTGCCGTGGCAGTCAGATAGAATTAATATCCTCTGAGACCAACTTAGTTATTGGTGCTTTTCTTTGCTAAGTAACTGTGAAAGTCAGGTACAGACAGATTGCTGGAATTACTCTTTTTTCCACATGTACCCTCCAATAAAGGGAAATAGAAAAACCCTTCCATGCCCTGGATGAGTTAGATTTAGATTTAAATCTTGGATCACTGCTCAGTAGCTTGGCAATCTTAAGTATTTTTGAAAATACTTAAGTTATTATTACAAGTTATTACAAGCTCCCCCATTGTAAGAATAACTCCCATCTGGTGGTTATTTGTGAGGATACATAAGACCCTGTCAAGAAGGTGGCATTGGAGGTGGCATAGAGTAGGAGTGCCAGGTATTGTCATAATTATCCTTGATCTCTGCATTAGAATGTCCTGAAATTTGTAGGTGTTTGTTTGTTAGTTTGTTTGTTTTTGCCATAAGAAATGACATATCTGCAGGACAAAGGGGTTAAGGAAAAAAAGAGGCCCATGCTACTTTTGTAATTTGGCTATGGTACTCCACATTCCTGCCCATATTCACCTCCCACCCCATGAATCTTTATTTAAGAGCCTGGGTAGAACAGAAAAAAAGAGCTGAGAGATATAACTCACGTTTTTCCATTTATGACTCTGGTTTAACCAGGAGTTGTCTATTTACAGAACAATGAGTTATCCCCAAAGACCGAGGAAAGATTCCCCTTTCTGGATACTTCCGCTACTCACCTGTGCTCCCCAAAGTCACGCCATCATGAAAAGGGAATGTCTTTCTGAATATAGTTGGATTAAGGAAATTTCATCTAATATTTCTTAAGTTAAACTGTATAAAATAAACCTTATAGATATTAGAACAAATCAAACCAGGTGTAATTGGTTGAAATGAATTCCCATTGGATAATGCATTAGGTCAGTTCAGACGGGTTTAAATTAAGAAGAATCAAACTGGTCCTGAAGATCTAAAATTGAAAATAATTATTTTCTAGTTCCACCCAGGCTCTGATGGAGTCAAGAGGATTAAAGCATTTCGAGTTCTATCCATCCATTTCAGGATGGATTAGATAAGTACAAACCAGACAGACTGACTGGATTCCAAGTAGTTCTAATTGGAATCACACTTTATCAGCCTTGGTTAATTAATGAGCTGTCTGGAAAAATAAAACTTTGCTTTAAGAACTGTTGTCACTCCACAATTGTGGCATGATGGTAAGGCCCATGAGTCTCCTCCATTGTCCATTCTTTATTACTGACAGGACATTTTTCTTTCTTAATGACAGAGCTACTTGTATAGATGTTGACATTAATATATCTGGTTAAAATGACCAACATCTCCACATCAACATATCTAGTTAAAATGAAACCACATACAAACCAACCAAAAAGCTACGTTTTCCAGTCTCACCTCAAGAAACACGTGTTCCCCAAAGCAAATGGTGGTGGTGGAGTTCCCTTCTGTTAATCTTTGTGTTTGAAATGTGGAAAACATGGCTGGAAGCATGGGGTTGATGATTGAATTCATCCCTAAGGACAGCAGAGCAAAAGTATGGACTTGCTATGTCCTCCCTCTGAGGCAGCCTTTCCCCAATTCCACATGACTCTCTCCTTCGATTCCACGTCTCCACTCAAATATCAGCTCAACAGAGGCCTCATCCAACCAAATTTTCTACATAGTACACAGGACCCCTCTCACTTCCACAATCTAACAAGAGAGTAAACTCTCTTGATTTTTTTGTCAAAGTACTTGCCATCACCTGGTTTGCTATATATTTATGAGCTAATTGTTTGCCTTCCCTGGAATGAAAGTTTAAGAGTTTTATTCACTGTGTATCTTTAGTACCTAAGATCATTACCTACAAAATGGTAGGCACACTGCCGACATTTTTAGTGAATAAAGGAATAATGAGTTGTCATCACCCTTTCATCAAATACCTGTTAGCATTTCCCATTGATGAAGGAATTGCCACTTCTCAGAAGCACAGCAGCTGAGCTCTGGCTATGGTTTCCCATTGCCGAGGAGAAGACAGAGTACACAAGGCACAAACCCACACGGAGCCACAACCACTCTTTCCATTTTATTCAAGGCATTAACTGAAAAACGGCCAGCTTCCTATTTCCTCAATTGTTTAACTGAAATTGCCAATTAATCCAGTTCCCTTCTAAAAATGTATTGTTATAATCTGGTGAAGAGGAGATGACAGGAAAAGAAAAGTGAGTGACACGAAATACACTAATATTGCTCTTTATTTCATGAAATCCAAATTATTGCAAGCATCAATTTTAGGACCATTTTGTGTAGACATTAACCAAAAAAGGCAACAAGAAATTCAAAATACATACACACACACAGAACTATCACCACAGAATGTGAAGTAATTAAGAAAAAAAATTAAAATATTCTTTGATTAAAAGATGCTTAGCATGCAGAAGGCCCTGGGCTTGATCCCCAGCACAGAAAAAAATTATATATATCGGCTAAAGAATATATTGAGAAAACATGCACACTAAAATAATAATGTGCAATAAAAGCAAAACACTAAATATCTGCTCAAAATTTAAATGACATAAGCTAAAGATGAAGTATAGGAAGGTCACTGTATGTGTTAAGTCTAACCCTTGAAAACTCTTCATTCACCTACCAATGCAGAACTTTAACGCTGTACCCACATCTTTAAATATTGTCCACATCTTAGTCACATGAAAGTCTTCTGGGAATCTAGGACCAGGACTACCATCCACTTCTAGGAAAAATGGAGGAGGTGTTTCCATTGAAAGAACTCTGATTCCCAGATTCTCTGCCCAATATAAGCCATGTAGTAGTCTACACTGACATTTCAAAGCTTGGGAAAGGGAATGTCATACAACCATGGACTTCATTCTCGTTATTCTTACAAGGCAGAGAGCAAGACAAGGAACGGGCCCCTACAGATAAAAGAGACCCCCACAAACATTACGTATGAGGTGTTCATCCCCAGCTCATGATGTGACCGATTTTAGGAAATGAATTAAAACTATCGCTCCTTGATGGAAAGATCACACTGCAAAGTATTTAGTTTTTATCCTAATCTCGAATGTAGGTACTTAGAACAGACAATGGTTAATTTTAGCTTTTGAAAATAAAAATTTAGCCTGCCTGAAAGCATATATTTTTATAAGATGATCATTTTGTATAGTCTTCAAAAAAAAAAAAATCTTCGACATGCTTCTGATACCCTTAAAAACACCTTACTAAAATGCCACAGCAGTATTTTCAAAGAGTAGCTCAGGGGCTACTAAAGTATTAGATATCGTCTTGCTGGCAAAACACTAGTTATTCAATCAATAAAAGGCGTTTTCTAAACCAGTGTGTTCAGATTTTACCGTGCATCAGAATCACCTGGGAGGCTTGTTAAAACACAGAATACTGGCTGCTCCATTCCCCTGCCCCCTCCCCCCCCCCAGAATTTCTGATTTAGTTGGTCTGGGGTGAGGCTTGAGAATCTAAATATTAATAAGTTCCCTAGTGATGCTGATGTGGCTAGAGCAGAGACCACACCTTGAGAACCCTGCCTTAAACTATTAATTTATATGTTCTCTAAACAGTGAAGTAAGTTTAGAACACAGGATCCATATGGTATTTACTGACCTCTCTATAAGGCTCTGTCCAGAGACATCTTTTCCAAAAAAAAAAAAAAAAAAATCCCTCCTTTATACCAACAGTAGTTCCCAGACAGCAAGAATCCCTAACACCATTTGCTTAGCATGTTGGTTTTGTTGTGTCTGGACTGTCCCATTTCCCATCAGAAGTATTATAATTTACTACATGTCTCCAGATGCCCTCCCCAGGACAGGATCCATGTCTCTGGGGGAACCAAAAGCCACAGCTACATGTCTCTACCCAGGAGGTCTATCTCATCCAGGAGGAAGTCCATGTCCTCCCGGCGCACTTGAGGGCTGATCACCACCTGGCGGAAGAAGTTGACCTTCCCCCGGTGGGGTTGGTAGCCCAGCATGAGGCTCCCCTTCTTCATCATCCTCTCCTTAATGGCTGGGGCCACCTGCAAGGGGAGAGAAGGAAGGAGGTGAAAGACCAGAACACCAAAGCATTTCAACTACATTTTCACTAGCCAACTGCTGGTGGGGAACCTACTCTCAGTACCCAAGGCCAACTTTATAATAATCCATTGAGAACTAATAGCATAGGAATACTGACAAGTACGTTGTTAGACTTCTTATTTCATTTGATCTTCATAGTAACCCCCTGCATTAAATATGACTGATTACATTTATAGATGAGGAAACTTAGGCACACGGAGGTTAAACAAATAGCTCGGGTCCCAGGCAGTCTCACTGTAAGCTCAGACTCAACACCTAAATCATTTTGCAAGGCTGCCTTCCTAAAAATCAATTTCCATGTCCACAGAGGTCACCATTTCAAAAGTACCAAATGTTATATTCCCAAATTTGTTTAAAGTAAAAAGTACTCCAGTTCCTATAATCCCAGAGACTTGGGAGGCTGAGGCAGGAGGATTGCAAGTTTGAGATGAGCCTCAGAAACTTAGTGAGGCCCTAAGAAACTTAGGGAGACCATGTCTCAAAATAAAACATAAAAAGGGCTGGGGATATAGCTCAGTGGTAAAGAGCCCCTGGATTCAATCCTCAGTACAAAAAAAAAAAAAAAAAATCTTCTAGTTAAAGTACCTTGAATGAAACAATTTAATCATAGACAAAAACAAAATCACTTTACAGTGTCTATCAAGGAAAAACCAATGTAAGTATTATGTGTAATTCTATTTTAAAGACTAATAGTTATTAGGTTATAAATAGGAAACTGTACCTTTTTTTGTCAATTATTGTGCTCTAAAAATATTTGCTAAAGAAAAAGTCATGGAAGGAAATGAAAGCTTGATATTATCCTTGCATATATAAAATACAAATGCTGTCTTTTATTAAGGATAAAGGTGGTAATACAATTAGGAAACTCGTATTTTAAGAATAAGAATTTGAAGCTGACTTGAGAAGTGATAATTCAAATGCACACATTTTTCTAAAAGTTTAATGTTTGAGGAAGTTAATCCAAGTTAAGAATCACACGGGAAAACGAATCTCTCAAAGCAGTAATGTGCCCACACAAGAGATCGGATGTCAAATTTAAAGTAGTGAAGTTAATTTTTGAAACTTCACAATAAAAAAAAAATTAAGAATGCACCCTTATGGACTTGAAAACATACATAAAAGTTTTTTCATTCGCCTTTATTTTATCTCTTTCAAAACTTTTGAGCATGCCCTCTGTGAATATGTGGGAGGGGAACTTCATGAATTTCTGTCCTTGTCTTAGAACAAAGACGGTAGCTGGCCCAGAAGCAAGGAATGCACTTAGAAATAATACCAGACAGAATGGGCTTTAAACTCCTTAGGGATGGGCATAAATGTCAGCTCTCAGGAGCCTTTCTTTAATAGGGTGACCCACTCTTAATACTCTACATTTTGAACATACCTATGTTTTTCGACAGCTGTGTACCTGAAGGCAAGGCCAGTCTACTTCACCTGACACTCAACACAATCCAATCCATCTTTCCCAAAGATGATGGAAAAATCAGGTGTTTGGACCCCAGGAAATATGATGTGTTGAGCTTAGCCACAAGGGAGGTTCAAGGGTAATTTAAGCAGTTTTTTTGTTTATTTGTTTTCCAGACATGCTAATTTTAGAACCTAAATCTTTCAAAACATAGACTGTACCATGTTGACAACAACCAACACCGTCAGCAAAATCACCTTGGCATTAAAAGACTGGCAGTTTTTCTTAGAATATAACAAGACAAAAAGAAAATGCATGGGTGTTTAAAAAAAAAAACAAACAGAAAAAGAAGATGAAATCTAAGAGTAAAACAGTGAAACAATGACCATCAGGGTCTATAAGTTCCTGGAAATGGGTCACATATTTTAATTTGAGCTTTCTAGAGATTGGAAAAACAGGACTAATTAAACAACAGCCCTCATTCTCTTTGCAAAACTTAGTGACAAGCATTCAGTGAACACTGCAAGCAGGAAGCTGGTAGGAAACTCTCTACTATGCTTACCCATAACCTCTTGGATTCATAAATGCATTATAAGGCACATTTTCTCCCTAAACTGTTTATGCAAGTATCGTTTGTTATTAGACATAGAAAATTTTTTAAAAAATGTATGTAAGCCCATGAAAGCAAGTATCCAAACAGAGTAGTTTCTAAAAAGACTAAGTAACATCTTTTGGAAAGACTAGGTAGAGGTGCCATCAAGGTAGATGTAGAAAGAGAACTATAAAGCTGTTAACACAAAATCTTGAGAATCTGGACTGATTCTGCACTCAGATTGCTACGTAGGTGTCTGGGTACTCACTATAGCTAAAGATACTCAAGCAGGATCTGACAGATGATTCTCATAGAGCCTGATTTAAATAACAGAGAGCAGGCCTAATCTCTAGCCCTCTACTCAGGAAGAATCTTACTTGCTTTGAAAAAGCTTTGGAAATACTCATTTGTGTGTGGGGGGGAGGGGAACCTTTCCATCAAAAGATGGGGAAATTAATGTGTACAGACATACAAGGAAAAAATATTTAAATGTAAAATGCAAATAAGATAAAAATATTTAAGTTATGTATGCTTGGATGCTTCACATTTTTGAAGGATTAGGATTATCTGCTTAAGTGATTCATCCTCATCACCTTAAGTATGAAGGCTTCTGATATACATGTGTGTATGTGTGTGTACATGTGAATATGTGCATACATGCTCACAGGTCATATAAACTTCGAAAGTATCATCCATCACTCTTTTTTTTTTATTGGTTGTTCAAAACATTACAAAGCTCATGACATATCATCTTTCATACATTTGATTCAAGTGAGTTATGAACTCCCATTTTTCCCCAAATACAAATTGCAGAATCACATCGGTTACACATTCACATTTTTACATAATGGCATATTAGTGACTGTTGTATTCTGCTGCCTTTCCTATCCCCTACTATCCCCCCTCCCCTTCCCATCTTCCCTCTCTACCTCATCCGTTGTTGTTCAGTTCTCTGCCTTGTTTTTTTTTCCCCCTATTTCCCCTCACAACCTCTTATATGTGATTCATCCATCACTCTTAAAATCTCCTGCTTTGTCACAGGACAACACAGAATCACAGTCCAGCTTACACTCATGACAAAAGCACATTTATTTTTAATTTAAATAAATAGTCTCTGGCCTCAGGAATATAAACTGAACCTAAGTGGAAAAAAACCCTAATAGTTCCAATGCTAATCAATATTAGGAAGACCTGGTTCACAAGAGCCAAATGTCTATCCAAGAGAGCCACAGGCTATTAATTTTAGAACCTACAACTTGTGATTCTATGAATTTTTTAAGTAAAAATTCCCTTCAGATACATCTCCATCATTCTCTAGTTATCCAGGGAATAACCAGCTTTGACATACAGCCAATTTCAAAACAGATCTATTCTTGGCATAGGCCTTATTTGCATAGTTTTTTATTCCTGTTTACTTTTCAGTAACTCTTATTTTTCTCCAGAAAAGGGGGTATTTTATGCCTTACCTTTAGAGAGCATTAGGATTTTGAGTCCAGTTCATAATGTGTCCGAGGCACAAATGAAGCAATTATCAATAGGAATCTGTCAGGTTTGCATTTGTTTTGTAAGCAAACCAGCAATATTTTTTAAAGTAAGCAAAAAAGATAACAATAAGAGGACCCTTTGGATGTTTTAATGCAAAGATATTCTGAATGTTCAATTCAGAAGTGTGTTCTGTGGGCAAAACACATGGAATAAGAACCAAACTTTTAAGTCAAATTTTGTCACTGGCTTTCCAAAGATTATAAAGAGATGACTAATCATCTATGTGATTCAGAGAACCAATTAAGCAAGGGCCTGACAGTCCAACAGACATTTTTATCAATGTATCCATGAACCATAGGATTAATTCCTAGAGGTAGTTGCTGTTAAGTAAACAGGGAAGGTCTCCTTTTTCTATGAATACTTCATGGGAAAGAAGGCCATAAGCAACCCCAAGGCTGATACTCATTAAATCTCTCTCACAAATTATTATTGCTGTGGTAGTAGGGAATTATTGTTATTTTTAACAAATAGTTTACCAATCCTTTACAATTTGCAGTTGTTTTTTTTGTGTGTCTTATTCCCATAAATTCAACTTAAAGCTTATCTGAAAGGAATCCATGTTTTTGCAATTTAGGGACCAAGAATGTTCTCATTAACAGCCAGCTTATCACCTTTGCACTTAAAAAAAGAATCAAACATTTTCTATTTATTAAGCTGCAGACATAGTCCAAGGCTGGGCAATTTGGATATTCCCTTTTGCTGATCACAGCAGAGAAGCAGTCCTAATCTGACAGGATGGAATATTCACAAGGGAAAGAAAATATGCACAAACTAAATGTAAGTATCCAAATATCACCCCTAAATGGAGCATGCATGGCGGAAAGCAATTTGGCAGCAGTGAGATTGCTTTCCAGCTCTCAATTATTTTACTTCTGGTTTTCCTTCAAATTGTAAATCACTTTCTGTGCTTGTGCCTCAGTGCACTGGACTCTGAATCTTAAGTGGAGGAAGATCCTGACATTTCTATTTGGTTGCACAGCTACTCAATCTACACGTTTCTGTAGAACTTCTGTTTTTTCCCCCCCCTTAAATTATGTTCGAGCAGTGATTCAGTCATTTAAACAGAATTCTGTTGTCATACTGCTGCAGCACATGATAGCATTTGATATTTAAAAGTTACTTAAACTCAAGGGGAAATAAAATAAAATGACACACTCTCTCTCTCTCTGGCCAAGTACAGAAATTTGATAAGCAACTGACCAGGCAACATCCCAGCCTTGGATTAAAATAAAATAGTAATATCCATAAAATGCCATTTCTTTTGAAAAATGTGTTCCACACTTAATATTAACAAGAACATTTTTTTTTCACTAGACAAAGTATATCTCAAACTGTCTGTGGGAAAGGGATCAGTTTTATTTTATTTTATTTTTCAATGCATTATAGATTTAAGACTTTGGTAA